TCTATCTATCTATCTATCTGTCATGATTCGTTATTTCCGGTAAAACCTGTGATGACCAGCACATTTGAAAGGTTCTGAAAGGGACATCTGTGAATACACAGGAACGTAACAAGTGGTTGAGGTGCATCTCGATGAAAAATGGCCGGGCAAAAGCACCACGGTTGAGGTTGGAGCAGAGACCTGGATGATGTTGTTGAACAAACCTCTGAGATGCGTGAAGTCTAGCAGCATCTTGATTGAGAGAGGTCGGACGGTGTATGAGAATGGTCCGAACCAAGGCATACCAAAGCCCAGCTCCGGCAAAGCCGCAAGGGGCATGGGGGTGAAGGATTCCGCTGAGGTGGGCTGACAACTTCTGAAAGAACCAAAAGCCAACAAGAACTGCAAGACCAGGAGTTCCCAATTTCACCCTTACCTTCAATAGCCATTTGTGTGGAACCCCTGAACGTCATCCCTCAGATACTGTAATTGTTTCTTTGTTTTTTGGCTCCAAGGTTACACCGCGGTCGCCCCCTTAGTAGCCGACCACCTGAGTCATCGCTGTCGCCATGCTCGCTGCGATTATCATCCCTTTGGTTTTTGCTGGTGCAACTTGGCTCCCCAAAGCCTTTCTCTAGAGGTCTACCATGCTTAGGCTTCCTGAGGTCATCACAAAGAGATCCTCATCCTCGGCACTTTTGATCGGTCATCCATTATCGTGTTTCTTTTTCTAGTGTGTGTGTGTGTGCGCATCCCTTTGGAGCCTCAAGTTGAGGTGATTTTGGCCATGTTCGTGCTGCTCGGCTTTCGGATGACAGTGGGCTTCAAAGGATCTGAGATCACAAACCAACATAAACCCTGAAAACCATCCACACTACAGACCCTGAGCAAGGCAGTTCGCCACCTGGGCAAATTGACAGCTGGGTTGCTGGATATTCACGGCTCAAGGGCACGGGAATCATCGGTTGAGTGGCAGATGAAACATCCGGGTGACCATCTACTGTAGGATGATTTGCTTTGGTACCCACTTGACTCTGACTGTGGATGTTTGGATATGTTGGTTGAGTGGCACCAAAAAGTGTTTGTAGCAAATTAAAACGTGCATGCAGGTTCCACCTAATGTGAATGGCAGCCTCATTGCCACATGTGTCCGACAGGCTCTCAGCCGGCATCACCTATTGCTTTCACCTTCTGGGCGTTGATCCAGACGAAGCTCCTACACTCCTCCGACGAGCCACTGGGGCCATGCGTTCACGTGGATTGACTCAAGAGCAACAGACGCTGGGCAAATTGTCGTGGCGAGATTCGTGGTGACCTGGTGCGTATGCCACCCCACCTAGATCAATTTCAGATGATTTGAGTGAAGTGATGTGAGTTTCTCCTGATCCAACTCGCCTTGAAAGGGGTCAAATGATTGGTTTCACCTCTCCATGCGACATGTCGTGGCTGGGAGTGGGGTCATGGATGGTACCGGTGATAAGCTATGCAACTCAAATTGAGGTGGGTATGAAGTTGGAACAGGTTCTCCAAAAGGATCAGCAGGTAGATTTCCAAGCAGAGGGCTTCATGCTTGAGCTTTTTGATAAGGGTGACAGACTTAGCAAAATCGTTCTTGTCGAGCCTGTGATGCATCTTGCCAGAAATCCCAGGAAGGCTTTGGCGGAGCAGATCCAAGCATCTCTTCCAGATACCTTTGTCGTGCCCAAAGATGAGGATGAGGAGATCACGTGCCCGGTGTGCTTCTAGACTTCACACAAGTTTGCGGAGCGCGTGCCCACCGAACATTCTGAAAATTCTTTCTGAGACGACTTCTTCCCTGAATAGTGAGGAGTTCCCACCTTGGCACTATATATGCGGCCTTTAACCAATTTCGCAGTCGCGCAGTCGGCCTGGATTTCTTCTCCAAAACCTGGTGAAAAGTGCCGTGCCGGATCGAGGTGCCGAGCGGGGGGCACTCATTTTCCTTGGAATTCATTAAAAGCGGTGGTCTGGCGCATGCTCGCATGCGCGCGCAGATTTGGTGTCAATTACTGTGCAAGCGGTCTTTGCTACTGGGATGAGCCTGGGGGTTGCTAAAGTTGTTACAGGTTTTCAGGCTACATATATTTTAGATATACATCTGTCTATAGGACTTGCAATAGTTCGTTTTTAGGGCGTACAATGCTATGTCAAGGTGCAAGAACTTAGGACATTGAGTTGCCAAGTGCATCTAAGGGCTGTAAGGCTGTACCAATGCATGCCATGTTGCACCATACTTTTACCAATATATTTGAAAGCAGTGTGCAGGCATGTCTTGCAGGGTGGATTGACGGCCTCAACGCAGGCACCTTGAAGCTCAGGCGAGTTTGTGGAAAAGAGGCCACATGTTTTGACCGAGGACGGTCGTGTAGGCGCAGGGCACCACGCCCTGGCGGTTTTCTTAATTGGTAGCGGAGCCCCCGTCACCACGACGGGGGCATCCGGGGGTTTTCAGCTCTAGGTAGGGCTAGGATAGGAAAGCAGTGTGTAGTGCCATGGCTGGTTCCACCGAGGGCTATGGCCA